CTAATTTTGGGGGAATCTCAACACCCTATTTTTACCATTGGACAGGACATCTAGATAAAATAATAAACAGAGACTCAAGAACCAATTGATACCGTAATCTAAATAGACTTGACAGACATATATAGGACATTCCACCAATCAACTACAAAATACACTTTTTTTCTCATCTCCACATGGAGCATTTTCATATAATAGTCCACAAAACAAGTCTTTATAGATTTTATCATTTTTTTTTTTTGGAGAGGTTTTTGCTATAGGGTGTCTGCGCTTGCCAGAAAGGCAGAGAGAGAGAGAAACAGAGAGACAGAAAGTGAGAAACACCCCCTAGGGTAGATGGCCACGCCTCACTCCCCTCTCCTCCATTCTCCTCTCAGGATCTTGGGCACACACACACACACACACACACACACACACATACATGCCTGGTGTGAGTTTAAGCCACCAGATCTGAGACTCGAACCATGGTCAACTACATGGGAGTCCAGCGACATAGGCATTACGCTAACTGCCGGACCCTATACACTTTAAAGTATAGAAACATCTCCTCTGACCATAGTGGAATTAAACTGAAAGTTAATCACAGAAAGAGCCCTCAAAAATGAATAAAAACATGAAAACTAAACAACCTACTTCTGAATGCCTTTCAAACTGCCCAAGAAATTAAGACTGAAATCAGAAGATTCATTGATATTGGTGATAATGAACACACCACTTCCATAACCTTTGGGATACAGCAAAAGCAGTAAGAGGGAAGTTCATAGCCATTAGTGCTCACAAGAAAGAAAACAGAAAAGTGGCAAATAAATAATTTAATATGACATCTTAGAGAACTGGAAAAGCAACAAGAATGACAAAACTCAAAGAGAAATAGTAAATATTAGAGCTAAAATAAATGAAATGGAGAATAAAAGAACAATACAAAAAAAGTTAATGAAACAAAAGCTATTTTTGTGAGAAGATAAACAAAATTGATAAATCATTAACTAGACTAACCAAGAACAGAACTAGATAGATAAAATCAGTAATGAAGCTGATAGTGCTATAATCAATAACTCAGAAATACAAAAAATTATGAGAGAATGCTATGAATAATTACATGCCAACAAACTAACATGTAAATTTGCTAGTTATAATAATATATAATAATTATAAATAATATAATAATGTGACAGATTTCTGGACAGGTACAAATTACCTAGGCTGAATTGGGATGAAACAGAAAGCCTGCCACTTGCTGGCCCCCTTAGCTTTATTCTTACAAATTACATATGCAACTTAAAAAATGAAGAGTAAGTACATGCAAAGGAACAGCCCCTCACATGCACAAGCTGCTCCAGTACTCATAACTGGGCCTGTGTGTTCTCCTGTTGAACAATGCCACAGAACATCAACATCATACTAGGTCACTCTGACCATGGAAAATGTAGACAAAAGCAAGACCATGAGACCACATGAATAATGCACAAAGAAATGACCAAATACTCCTGACCTAGATGAGGGAGAGCTGCTGCTTCACCAGTCCCTTGCTGTAGCCGCCCTGAGCCTATTTTCTTCCTAATTTGTAAGTCATATATTCTACTTAGTTTTTTCACTCTGTAATGTACTCCAAAGATCACCAGGAGCACACCTGTGGCCAAATAGATGGGTTGTTACTTCATGCTCCCTGGACACCATGAGGCATCTCAGAGAAAGGCCTGATTGTAGATATGAGCTGTGGGAGTTGGTCTTTAGAAAAGACTAAATGAGAGGCCCTTCTTCCAGATAAAATTGATTGAGGTCCAATCATAGTGTGATCCTCAACTCTTGACAGTACTCCAACCAGAGCCACATCCACTTCACTGAATCCTTCCCAAGATCACCTACCATAGCCTAAGTCTACAATCAGGCTTTCTAACACCTCTAATTGGGACTTCTCACCATTCCTCAGAGCACACTGAGTAATAACCCAACTTGTTTGGCCACACATGTGCTCCTGCTGATTTTTGGATTGCAGTGTCAGAGTAAAAATAACTAAGCAGAATTTATGACTTCCAAGTTAGAAAACATGCAGCAAAGACTCATCCATCCAATAAGAAGCAAAAATAAGGTAGAAAACAATGCAAAAATAAAGCATGGTAACTCAAAAAAACAAGATAAATTCAAGCATAAGGCTAATCACAATTAATAGCACCAGATTTAGATTGCTGAATAAATATTGTCCAGTCTAGCTAGTAATCCAAGAGACTCAGCTAGAACGTTGTGACCAAAAGTTGGAAAGTCAAGGAAAGGAAAACTGTATACCTGGCAAATACTAGGCAAAAGGAAATTGCACGTACTATGAACATCAGACAAACTATACATTAGGCTGAAAACATTCCTTAAAGATAGAAAGGTTTATTACATAGTGTAAAAGAACAGTTCCTCAGGAAGATGCATCAACTTAGCTTAAGAATACTTAAAATGGGACCAGCAGTTAGCGTAATGGCTATGTCGCTGGAGTCCCATGTAGTCAACCGCGGTTCGCGTCCCGGACCCAGTGGCTTGAACTCACACTGGGCACGTGTGCATGCGTGCCCAAGATCCCGAGAGGAGAATGGAGGAGAAGGGATTGCAGCGTGGCCATCCCCCCTGGGGGGTGATTTCTTGCTTTCTGTCTCTCTGTCTCTCTCTGTCTGTGTGGTGAGCGCATGTGCCCTATAGCGAAAAACCTCTCAAAAAAAAAAAAAAAAAAAGAATACTTAAAACGTGGCCAGCCCTATTGCCTAGTTAAAGGAGCTAGATCCCACATGGCCTATTGCAGTTTGAATTTCAACCTGGTAGCTTGAAAAACATGCTGGGCATGTGCACATGTGTGCCCCAAATCCCAACAGGATGGAGAAATGGAGAAGGGAGTGTGGTGTGACCACGCCCAACTGCAAGTTGCTTTCTCTCTTTCTTTCTCTCTCTCTGATGAGTACACATGCACTCTGGTAGTTAAAAATATATATACATAAAATTTGACTGAATTTTTAAAAAGGATAAACCAATCAAAATCATGATGGAAGATTTTAACACCCCATCTTCCTGAAAATGATAGACCAGCCAGATCTAAGTCAGCCCACGAAAATAAGTTCTGAACAACACAAGCAATAAGGATGAACTGTTATTCCTACATAGGACTGTCATTCATTGTATTCAAGGACAATGTGAATGTCTCTATCAAAAGCTATGAGAATCGGGGCCAGCAGTTAGCATAGTGGCTATGTCACTGGACTCCCATGTAGTTGACCACAGTTCAAGTCCCGGACCTGGCAGCTGAAACTCACGCCGGGCGCGTGTGCGTGCATGCCCAAGATCCTGAGAGGAGAATGGAGGAGAAGGGATTGCAGCGTGGCCATACCCCCTGGGGGATGGTTTCTCGCTTTCTGTCTCTCTGTCTCTCTCTGTCTGTCTGGTGAGCGCATGTACCCTACAGCAAAAAACCCCTAAAAAAAAAAAAAAGCTACGAGAATCTAAAGACAAACTATAATGGCTATTAGGATTGCTCTGTAAGGTTACCAAACACAAAACCAATATTCCAAACCAAGAAATCTGCTCAAAATCATCAACACCGACTGATAGAATTTTAAACAAAAATCATCTTTAGAATGAAAGCTACTGATGCCTAAAAGCAAATATGACCAACATGCATACAAGCTTAAACTATTAGGAATTTTCATGAAAGATGAGAGAAACACCATGCTCTTGGGTGGGAAACTCAATTTTGTGACGATAGTGATTCTCTCCAAATTAATCTAAAATTCAATCCTATTACAAGAAAGTTCAGAAGAACTTTTCCCCTAAACTTGACCAACTGATCTGAAGATTCATCTGAAAGAAAGAGCAAGAAAAGTGTAAGGAAGCACTTATCCATAGCTGTGGCGTTTGCTACGAACAACAAGAACAGCAGCTGCAGCAGTGTGGTATCGGAGCATAAGTAAACTCACAGACGCATAATGAGCCTAAAATAAGGCATGTGTATATCTAGAAATTAAATATGATGAAGTGGCATTACAGGTTAATCAAAAGATAAAATTATTTAATAAACAGTGCTGAGACCATTAATTATCCACTTACCTCGAGAAAATGAGATCCCTTTCTTACTCCTCAGGAAAATTTGAATTTTTGTTTTTATTTGCCAGAGAATACATGCACTCACCAGAGTAAACACTTCCTAATAGGACCTGGTCATGCCACAATCCCTTCTCTTCCATTTCTTAATCCTGTCAAGATTCAAGGAACACACACACACACATACACGAGTGTTTTTCAAGGCTTTGGGGCCAGAATTCTAACCACATGGTCAGCCATGTGGGATCTGGCAACCTTAACCACAAAGCCACGGGACCAGTTCTTAAACTTATATGTTTTAAGACATAAATGCAGATAGAATTCTTTTTTAATTTTTAGAAAAAAATATAAGAGAAAACTTTTGTCAAGTTAGAGAAGAAAGGATTTTTTTTTTTGAGAGAGAGAGATTTTTGCTATAGGGCACATGTGTGTGTGCTGGAGAGACAGAGAGACAGAAAGTGAGAAATCACCCCTGGGGGATGGCCACGCTGCAGTCCCTTCTCTTCCATTCTCTCGGGATCTCAGGCACATACACACATGCACCCAACCTGTGTTTTAAGCTGCCAGGTCTGGGACTCGAACCACAGTTGACTACATTACAGTCCAGCGACACAACCATTATGTCATCTGCTGATTCCAAAGGAAGGATTATTTTTTTCTTGAATTATTTTATTTAACTTTATGTATTTATCTTTAATTTGACCAGAGAGAGAGAGAGAAAGTGAGAAAGCAAGCCGCCAGGTCCAGGACTCGAACTGTGGTCTGCCATGTGGGGGAGTCCAGCACCTTTAACCACCACACCACCTTCCATCCCCTAGAGGATTGTTTTTTTAAAAAGAAATAAAAGACATGACCCAACAAAGCAATGACCGGTGAGATGAGCTGTGGCTGAGTCACCCTGAGCACACTTTGTCCTTCTGTCCTGGAGCTAGGTGTGGATGGAAGAGTGTGCACTATCCACTGTGCTGCAGACACACCTGTGGGAAGACCACAAGAGCACCGTCCATGGAGTCTTGGGCCGTCTCGGCGGCCTCAGTGAAGAGTGAGTACAACTTCCTGAAGGGTAGGGGTTTGGATGTGTGTGATGTTCCACACGACTTAGAGACCTACTGTGAGGTGGATGCATGGCCTGCCCGCCTGCCTCCCTCACCACATTGTTCATGTTAAAGGGGTGCAGCCGTAGAACGGAGTAGCTTGGAGCCCCAATTAATCTAAACAGGTAATTTACCAATTCTTACCCTCAATCTCCTCATCGATATAATGGTGCTAATGATACTGCAATCACAGAGTTGTCTTTGATAGGAACTTTTCTGAGCAGTTTTGTTTGTTTGTTTGTTTGTTTAGAGAGATTTAAGGGTACATGTGCTTGCTGGAGAGACAGAGTGAGAAAGTGAGAAATCACCTGCTGAGGGGGTGGCCACACCATAATCCCTTCTCCTCCATTCTCCTGTCAGGATTTTGGACACTCATACACTCATGCCTAATGTGAATTTCAAGTCAGCAGGTCCAAAACTTGAACTGTAGTCAGCGCCTTAACCACTCCTTAACTTGCTGGCTCCTAACAATTTCTTTTTTTAAGATATAATTTATATACATTCATCTTAAGAGTGTAATTCTACAGTTTTCAGTAAATTTACAAAGTTCTACACTTACCACCACTGTTCAAGTTTAGAGTATTTCCATCACCCCAGAAAGAGCCGTTGTGCCTATTTGCAGTCATTCTCTGCTGACTAATCACATTTTATATTCATTTCTCACACTTCGCTCTATTACTGCTGTATGATTTTTTTCAGTCTTACTGAAAAGTATTTTTTCCTTATTTCATATGAGAAAAATGATTTTGATATACTTGTTTTAGTTACCAGCCTTTTCCAAAAACCTAATTTGTACATACATCAGGAAGTGTGTGTGTAGCTGATAGCAGTGGCTAACGCAGGGGAAACAGCAGGAAGCAGGAGGTGAACCCATGTGGGACAGAGCCAGGGAGACCTGGTGGGCCACACTCGGGACACTAAGAGAGATGGAGGGTTTGTCTCCCCCTGAAAACATGTGTCTTTTAACTATATTAATATTTAGTTTATGTCTAATGTAAATTGTGACATATTGGGGGGGGTTCTGTTTGTTTAGATTTTTACATTTTTGCCATAAGGCACATGTGCTTGCCTAGGGAAGAAAAAGAAAGAGGAAGAGGGAAAGTGAGAATGCACATACCTAGAGGGCATGGCTACACCACAGTTCCCCCTCTTTCATTCTTCTCTCAAGATTCTGGGCACGCGTGCATACACACCTGGCGTGACTTTTAAATTGCCAGGTCTGGTACTTGAACTGCGGTCACCATGTGAGAATCCAGCACCTTAACCACCACGCCACCTGGTGGCCCTACCTCTTTGGGGTTTAAGTTTATCATCTTACTATTCATTTCATCCAGGTCACTTGTTCTTTGTTCCTTTCTCTCCTTCTTCTGTATTAATTGGTTTTTAATTCCCTTTTCTCACCCTCTTGGCTTGTGAATTATGTATTATTTTATTGTGTTTTCCATGGTCCAGAGATTTCAAGTAACATTGTTGACATGTCAAAATCCAATATATACGAAAATATTACTTCCTCCAGTACAGTGCAAACATTTTAACTCATTTATTCCTTTCTCGGGATGCCTTCCTATCCCCAGAAGTTGTTGTTGTTTTATACAGTCAGTGTGCATTTGGAATAAGGTCTACTCACAACATCTGTTCTTATGTCGCTCTTAATTCTTTCCTGTCTACTCAGGCTTCCATCTGGGATTATTTTCCTTTGCCTGGAGGGTTTTCTTTATTTCAGACCTGCTAATGACATGTTCCCTTAGGTTTTGTTTGTTTGAAAATGTCCTGTTTCGTCTTCCCTTTTTAGGACCATTTTCATTGAGTAGAGAATCCAAGTTTGTTATTTTTTCCATATTTTTAAAGATAAGTTTTTTGTCTTCTGATTTCAGTTGGCTCTGGCTGCTTTTAAGATTTTCTTTTAGTCTTTGGTTTTCGTCAGTTTATTATGACATGCCTAAACAATGTGTAGATTTTGTGTTTAATAAATCTGCAGTGGTTCTTGAATCTGGGAGTTGCTGCCTTTCATCTGTAGATGGAAATTTTCAGCCATTATCTCTAGATCTTCCTGTGTCCATTTTCTGCCTCCTCTCTTCGTGAGGCTCCAATGACACAGTTATTAGACTTTTCACCTTATTCTGTACGTTTCTTTCATGCTACTCTGCATTTCTCAGTCTTTCATTCTGTGGTTCTTTCACGCTGTCTTCCAGTTCACTGTCTCTTCATCTATGTCTTATTTGCTGCTACATCCATCTGCTGTCATTTGTTTGTATTTTAATTTCTAGAATTTCCATTTTTGCTCTTCATAGTTTCTGGTAATCTACTGAAATTCTTCATCTTTATAAAAATATTTACTTGTTTATTTATTTATTTATATTCATTCACTGTACATCATTATAGCTTACAAAATGAGATTTTCCACCCAGAATGTACTGTATATTGGCTTAGTCAAGGATATTACATTACATATTATCATCAACAAATAATCTTCCATTTCTTGTTTCTTACATATATTGCTTTTTTTGCCCCCTTGACTCCCTACCTCTTCCCCTCTGCCATTTCCCACTCTCCTTCCATACTGTCTCTGGTATCTACAGTCATTTTCCACGCACTCTTTTTCTCCCACATGTTATTGATTCACTCACTGAAGATCTTAATTAATATGAAAATGTTCAATAGTAAGCACAGCTGGTATATACATATCTATGAACACATGTATGACTTTAGGCATAAATCTCAGTGAGTAAAGTGAACAAACTATAAAGTAGCACCTAGCTGGGGCTATATAGCTTACTGCAGTCATTAAACAGGGATTTTTTAATGCATTTTTTAATTTCAAGAAAAACAGTTTGAGTTTTAATAGATCAAACTCAAGAAATGTTAAGACTTAGAGCCAGAAAAAAGGTTAGGATTCAGTTCAAATAGTAGGTAGATGAAGCTATCAACAGTTCAAGAGAAGGCAAAAATCCTTAAATATGGAAAACAAAACATAGAAGAAAATCAGTATCATTTTAGTCAAAAGTCATAAAATTCTATTTCACTAGTTCGGTCTCATGTAGTTAATCTCTCTTCTATTGAATTTGCAATGTTACTGTGGTCTGATTTTCTATTTAAACTCTGGAAGTTAACATTCAACTCCAGACTTGTCCTTACCACTAGGCTGGCCATTCTCTTGGTTGTTTCTTATACTCTCATTTCTGTATGTCTGACTTTAGTTTTCCTGGTATAGCACTCCCTTCAGCACTTCTTGGAGAGGTGGTCTGGTGTTGGTAAATTCTTTCAGGTTCTGTTTATCTGAAAATGTTTTTGTCTTTTCTTCCATATGAAGGATAATCTTGCTGGGTATAGTATTCTTGGTTGAAATTTTGTATTTCTTGGGTCTGGATATTTGAGTGTCTCTCTAGGTTTGGAAAGTTTTCCCCTAGGATGCCCTTATTAGTTCTTCACCTTCTGGGATACCGATGATCTGGATATTTGGGTGTTTAATGGTATCTAGTATTACTTGTATATTATTCTCATTTTCAGAAGTTATTTTCTCAGTCTTTTTGGTGAATTTTCCTAGGTCAGAGGTTCTATCGGCTACATCTGAGATTCGATCTTCTGCATGATCTAACCTGCTTTTAATACTTCCAAGAAAGGTTTCAATTTCCTCTCTTAAAGCTTTCATCTCTAACAATTCTATTTGATTCTTTTTAATGGTGTATATTTCCTCCTTCAGATCGTGCAAGAACTTTCTCACCTCCTGGAACTTGTTGTCTCTTTTCTCCTGTATCATCTGGAGTTTGTTGTCTCTCTTTCCTTGCATCTCTGGTAGCTTTGTCACTGTGAATATTTTAAATTCTTTATCTGATATTTTCACTAGTTCCCTTGTATTGTCTGTGGAGGATGAGGAGTTATTCTTTTCCTTTAGGGGAGAGATACTTTCTTGTTTTTTATATTTCTTGTGTCAGTTTGGTGGTTTCTGGTCTTCTGATGGATTATACGTTTTTTCCTGGCTTGATCTGGGGGGCAGGAGGGTGATGTCTGGGCAGAAGGTCTTCAGTGGTCCTAATTCCTCAAAATTCTTCATCTTGATATTTAATTTCTTGAACATATTATTTAAAAATTGTGTCTTAAATATACTACTATAAAATAGACATATAATTATTCCTAAGTATCTAATATCTTGTGGGCGGGTATTTTTCTATTGCTAGTTTTTTTCACTTTATTATTATTTTTTTTTTTTGGAGAGATTTCTGCTATAGGGCGCATGCGCTCGCCAGACAGACAGAGAGAGACATAGAGACAGAAAGCGAGAAATCACCCCTCAGGGGGGATGGTCACACCGCAATCCCTTCTCCTCCATTCTCCTCTCGGGATCTTGGGCAAGCACGCACACGCGCCCGGCGTGAGTTTTAAGCCACCGGGTCCAGGACGCAAACCGCGGTCGACTACGTGGGAGTCCAGCGACATAGCCATTACGCTAACTGCTGGTTCCCTTCACTTTATTTTTGATTAATCCTAACCTGTGCCTGGTTATTTTTATGGAATTGTGAACATATACATGAAAATTTTTGGAAGTAATTTAAAGGTTTGATTGATGTAATCATACTCCAGAGAGGATTTATCTTACTCCTAAGAGGAATTTCAGATAGTGGCAGACTACCTCTGCCCACTTGGGAATTTAGCTTATTCAAATTAGGTCTTTGTGAGGGATGATTTTGGGGAGGGAGGGGGAGAGATTTTTGCTATAGGGCATGTGCACTCACCAAAGAGTTAGAGAAAGACAGACAGAAAGTGATAAATCACACCCCCCAAAGAGGGATGGATGACCACACTGCAACTTCTTCTCCTCCATTCTACTCACAGGATTTGAGGCATGCACACACACATGCCCTGCATGAGTTTAAGCTGCTGGATCTGGGACTCAGACCACAGTTGACTATGTGGGAGTCCAGCGATGTAACCATTATACCATCTGCTGGTACCAAGGGATGACATCTTATTCCTAGATGAGGGCCTCAACTGGCAGCCTAGAGTATATGCCAGGTCTCCTTTTCTTGGTAGGCCAACTGCCAACCTCTGTTTAGTTTTTCAGTCTCCCAGAAAATATCTCAAACTACAAAACTAAATGTTGGACTTTGGAAGACTAAAGTTTTTTACTTAAGTCACTGAGATGGGAACTCAAAAATGGCTTCTGATTTAAGTTTTGGATGTCTTGATTTTTAAAGTTTATTTAGTTATTTTTTAAGAGTGAGAAAAAGAGACACATTTCCAATAGGGTTTTCACACTATGACCAACCCCAGCCCTCGAGCCTCAGGCAGCCAGGATCTCAGGCATACATGCACATGCCCACTGTGTGCAGGGAAGCCTCAGATATGACCCAGGGACTTTTCCATGTGGCTTCATCATCACTGAGTGTTGAATTACCACTTCACCACTGTGGTTGGCCAGATGTGTTAATTTTGAGAATTGTTTAAGAAATTCAAGTGGATATATACTATAAGCAGCTGGACATCGGCCTGTGACAGTTGGGCAGGGTATGATAACATTAAGAAAACTATCAAAAGAACAGATAGCTGACTAGAACTAGGCGAGCACCCAAGTCTAAGAGAGTGAGCAGCAAAGAACAGGGTGATTCTTGCCTACTTCCTCGTGGAAAGACTGCATGTGGGG